CGCCACCTAGATGGCTTGGAGCAGCGAGGATCATTGAGCGAAGGTTGGTGATTGTCTCCGGCTCCGATCATGGTGATTGTGAGGGGATCTTGACCTTTCCCCGGCAGAGAGCCAAAAGGTACTCTAGTGGATTGCTTGTGGCTTGTGTGATCCTCATCTTGTGTTGGTTGTGTGGCACCCTATTGAGGGTTTGGCGTGTGATGCTAATTACCGCGTGAACCTTCAAGTGAGTGAATCACCACAATGAGGACTAGCTTGCCGGCAAGCAAGTGAACCTTGAAAAAAATCATTGTGTCATCATTTGATTCCAAGGTGATTGGTCTTCATTGGTATTCATTCTTGTGATTGATTGGTTCATTTCTCAACTTGGTGGTATAACCATCTTGTTCTCTCTCTTTATATTACCGTAAACTAGTTGTCAAGCTCTTTAGTATAGCTAGTCATGAGAGCTTGTTAGTTTGATTAGCGTGGCTGTTTAGTTAGCCTTTGAGAGCACACTAACTTAGTATAGTGACATAGCCTTTGTGTGGATAGAGACTATAGAAACTAAAATAGTGGTAGATGGCTTGCATTTTAGTAGGCTAGCGCAACACTCGCTTCGCCTTATATTTGTCTAACCGGTTTGCTAAGTGTTGTTGTAGAAATTTTTAATAGACTATTCACCCCCCTCTAGCCATTAGGACCTTTCACCCTCTGAATAGCATGGGTTGCAATGGTTGCAGAACAGAGCAGAATAGCAACACCATCAACTGAGTATGCATGGGCAAGATTAGCAGTGAAATACCTTGGTTGGTTATGCTCTGCAACATCCTAGAATACCATAATAGCAGGCCCAAGAGTGGAGCGTGAGTCGATGACAGAGGTAAACTCTTTTGTTGCTTCTGCTAGCTCAGGTATGAAAGGAAACACCGGCGCCGCAGCAAGGATCGATGAAGGAGCTAGTGTAGTGGTCACTGACTCAGGGGCGCACCCAGCATAGTTGTGACCTGGTATCGAACACCATGAGGACGATGTTTGTGCGAGCTCGCTGGGAACAACCTGGGTAACAGTTGGCCACGACTCCTAGAGCTCCGCCAGGGGATGAAGCACTCCTTGTTGGAGCTCACCCACCTCGAGCTTGGCCATGAAGAACATCGGGGCTAGCCCATGGTTGTTGTCACCCCAGTGGAGCTTCTCCTCCTCCCAGAGCGCGCCGATGGGGTTGTCGGAGAAGCTGCTGTCGCCAGCCGGACAAATCATCAAACATGTGGCCTACGCTGACCTCGCAGCGATCACCCAAGCCAGAAGCCCACCACCAGCAGCGCCTACTGCATCGGCGCGGAGCGCGGTAGTCGTGGCGGGTGCCTAGTCATCATGACCGATGACTCAGTCGAGTGGCGCGTCGAAGTGGGTGACACCGAACTCCGGGTCATCGTCGAGGGAGACGTCGTAGCCACCGAGTGGGGTGGCGCGGAGCACACACTTGACGGGGCCAAGGCAGACGCAGCGGAGAAAACCGGGGTCGTCGGGCGTGAAGTCATCGTGGAGCCGTAGTATGTTCACGTCAACAAAGACGCGGCCACTGGCACCGATCCCCTCGGCGCGGATGACGGGGCACCGCTCCTGCTTGGCGCGTGCGACGAGGAAGAAGGGTTGCGCCTCCATCTGTACTAGCGACACGGATGGGAAGGCACAGAGAGGCCTCCAGCGGCAAGAAAGCACCACCGTGCGCACGGTATCCTTGATGGGTAGGTGAGAGACGATGTCACGGAGGAGCACATCTGGAAGGAGGCTGAGGCGGCCGAGGTTGATGATGTTGTCGAGAGCGGCGGCTAGGCGGTGAGGACTCTCTACGGCATCAAGCATGGATTGGACCACCGCGGGGCTAGGGTTGGGATCGTCAGTGGAGGCAGCCTCGCCGTCACTGCTGGAGAGCTCGGAGTCAAAGGCGACGTCGGAGTCGGTGGAGGTGGTGTTGAGCATGGGAGCGGGCTCATGGACGACGTCGAGCAGCGCGACAGGGACGTTGGAGGTGAGGCCATGCGTGTTGCGGATCTGGGCGGAGCCGAAGACATCGATGGCGGAGAGGTCGAGGTCGCGCTCCTCTGGGTCATGGGCAGGCTGCTCGAACAGCCTACCCCAGTTGTCCGGGAGCACCTCAGCATCGATCTGCTCGAGGGCACAGACGTGGAGGTCCTCAGCGGCATGCCGCTGCTCCTTCGTCGGCGGAGGCGAGAAGCGCTGGTCCCAACAATCCTCCATCTCGTCGAACCTCCGGTTGAACTCGTCGAGGATAAGCTTGAGTTGAGAGGGATCCATGGAGCTAGACCGAGAATCGACTGTCTCTGATACCAATTGTTAGCAGCACACGATCTAGAGGATGAACTCAGATCACTCCAACTCCAATCAATCAGCACAGGTAATAATATCCGATACAATAAGAGATAGAATCAGGGGAAGGCAGCAAGCAAGGGAATTAAGGTGCCAGGAAGAAGTTACTAGAAGGATCTAGAAGAGGGAATCTGGGTACAAGAGGAAGGAACTTGAGGAAGAAGATGGACAGTAGAGTCTAGGAGGAAGAGGAGACAAGAGACTGGTTCTGTATTCTTCGATGTCCCCCGTTCCTCAGCTGTTGCGTCGTTTTGTACGCCACCATATCCATTTGATTGGGCTTCACGACCAGCCCATAGGTCCAGCTTGATAGTCTAGTACTCAGGCCCATGTATCTGACTGGCCGTGAGGGAGACGGGATAAGATGGAGAGAGAAAACGGAAATTTAAGAGAGGAAAATAAAGAAGAAAAGGAAAAGCAAAAACGAAAAAAAGAAAAAAGAAAAAATGAAAGGAAAAAAAAGAGAAGGGTATTAGGGACTTTTCACATTTTCAACATCTAGAAGAAGTTGTTTTTATCAAACAGTCCATAAAACTGCTTCGGCTCCCCAAGTGAATCTACTCTACCCGTAAAATTACAACTGAAGTTGTTTTGGCCGGAGCCGGAGCTCTACCAAACGCATCCTAAGTGGAAATCCAAAATCAATTCAAAACATGTATTTTGGTTGATCAAAAAAAATTAGGACTTAGCACATCCATAATGTATACAAGTATGTACTCACAAATTCAAACTCCATTTGACAAATTCATACGGAAATCACAAATTTTAGGTTTATGTGCACTAAAAGTCTCTTAGTGCACATGACCCTCATATTTGTTATTTTTGTATGATTTTTCCTCTAGTTTGAGTTTGCATCGCAGTTTTTTGTGAGTACATATTTATATGCACAATTGATGTGTCAAGTTTGAAAAAAAATTAAACAACCGAAATACGATTTGAATTTGTCTTCATGTTTCCAGGTGCTTTCCACACCAATGTTGCCACATAATGGCACTGGGAGCATACAAAGCAAGCCTGACAATCAAGCAGCAAGCCGTAGTTCGGACAGTGTCCTGTCATCACAGTTTACACTTCAGTGGAGTTCTTCCTGTGGATTAGGAGAATGTCCTTACAATTCCTTTCAGTTGATTATTAGCATTTGAGGCCCTCTGTTGACAGAAAACGATGTCTATTTCGTTCTATATATGTTGTCCCCCCCTTCCTTCAAATAGAAGTCCCCAATGTGAAAGTTGTAAACTCCAAGTAACAAATAGGTCGAGGTAAGTATATTTTAAGAAACGGAAACTCTAGTTTCCCAGCGCGCACGTGATGGAGCTTCGGCGCGCACACCCCGACGGCCGTCCGATTCGCATGGGGAAGGAGGCCGTCAGATTTGCACCCGCCCCCGCCTCACCGGATAAGAAGAATATACGTGGGAGAAGAAGCGCCACCAATGGAGAAGAAGCGCCGTCGGCCATCAACATGTTCAAATATAAGTAATTTTAGCCCTTGTTTAGTTACACCTAAAATTTCAAAAAGTGCTACAGTACCTGTCACATCGAATGTTTACGGTCTATGCATGGAGCATTAAATGTAGACGAAAAAAAAACTAATTGCACAGTTTGGTGGGAAATTGCGAGACCAACGTTTTGAGCCTAATTAGTCCATGTTTGAACACTAATTGCCAAATAAAAACGAACGTGCTACAGTAGCCCCAAATTCCAAATTCTTGGAACTAAACAAGGGCTTATATTGGTTGATACTACCTTCCAGTTTACAAGCCCTGGTCTAGGTCATGTAGTGGAGAGTTTCCTCCCTATCTCTCATAAAAAGGAAATACCTTACCAGTGAGAAGAAGGGGCCACCCGCGCCCCACCACGCACCTGACCGTGAAGCTCTGGCGTGACCCTACCGCTGGCACCGGGGGCAGTCGGAGGTGGTGGAGTCGGGGGCGACATTGCCAGATCTGGAGCGAGTCGAGGGCGGCGGCGCCGGAGTCGGGCAGGGTGAGGAGCAGCGGGCGTGCACACGTTTAAGTCGAGCGGGAGGAAGAAGATAAGGTGCGGGGGCGAGAGGCGTGTGGAGCAAGTGCCGCCCGCGCATGCGGAGGGTAGTGGTGTCCTTTAAGAAAACCTGTGCTAAATTCAAGGAAATAAATCCTTTAAGCCTTGTTCGATTGTTGTTAAAATCAAAAGATTTTAAGGCTTGTTCGGTTAAGGTGGATTGAGTCCAGGAATTATTCGTTTGTTCGGTTAGGGTGGATTCAGCTATACAAATTAGACAATCAATTTGGCTGGGAATTTTTTCAGGTGACCTTTTCTTGTCAAACGAACAGGCCCTTAAAGGGATGGGACTGGGATGAGAAAAAAGTTTGATTTGCACAAGATTTAATCCAGCATATTAGACCGCCATCTTGTTTTCCCACGAACAATTTATCCCAAAAGCTTACTTACGTGGATGTCCATATATGACTATGCATTTTTGAAAATTTTAAAAAAAATATAAGCGGGTATTCTACATTAAATTCCGATCTATTTATAATACGGAGTACCTAGCAGTCCCGACAAACTAAATGAAATTCCCTAAAAAAAGGAAGAAATTTGACTGGAAAACACAAAAAAAGGCAGAGAGGACAAAAGGGGAAAGAAATGTTATGCCGATTCCATATCCTTGCTCTGCTCTTCGCCGCCGCCATTAGTCCTCTCCGCGCCGCCTCCGATCTTCTTCCGGAAGCCGAGCCTCCTGGTCGCTTGGCACGCCCAGTCCCACGAGTGGAGGAGCATGTAGGAGGCGATACCGCCGACGAGTCCGTAGGCGATGGAGTAGGTGAGCGGCATGAGCGCTAGTGTTAGGAACGCCGGCACGGCCTGCCGCATGTCGTCCCAGTCGACCTCCGCCACCGCGCGCATCATCATGACGCCCACCAGCACCAGCGGCGGCCCGACCGCCCAAGACGGGATCGACGCGAGCACCGGAGTGATGAACAGCGCCGCCGCGAAGTATGTCGCCGTCGTGAGCGCCGCCAGCCCCGTCCGGCCGCCCTCCCTGATTCCCGTCGACGACTCGATGAACGCCGTAACCGGGGACGTGCCCAGGAGCGAGCCAAACACGATGGCCGTCGCGTCGGACATGAAGGCGAAGTACTGGCCCTCGAACTCCCCCGTCACATCGTCCACGAATCCGGCGAACCGCGCCATGGTGTAGAGGCTGCCGGTCGTGTCGAGGATGTCGACGTAGAGGAAGGTGATGAGAGCCTCCCAGAAGTAGCCGTGGCCGATGCCGCTGAAGTCGAGCGCGCCGGCCGTGGACTGGATCCGGTGCACGTCGAACACCTTCTTGAAGTAGTGGAAGCTGTCGTCGCCGGCGGGCGTGTCCGGGAATGCGGTGACGGCGGTGTGGCGCGGCCAGGACACGAAGGTCACGAACAGGATGCCGTAGATGAGAGCGCCCTTGACGCTCTTGATGAGGCAGAAGGCGATGATGAGGAACCCCACGACGGCGAGCCAGAACGTCGGGGAGGTCATTCGCCCCGAGAGGCAGAGTATGCCGCCGGAGACGGTGCCGCCCGGCATCAGCGCCACCGTGCCATTGGGGAACGTCAGCACTGGTGCGACGGACGCGCGCTGCGACACCGGGCACGCACCCAGCGTGACCAGCGTCGACGAGCTGAAGCCCACGAGCCCCACGCCCTCGTTGCTCTGCAACCCGATGAAGGCCAGGAACAGCCCGATCCCTGCTGACGCCGAGATCCGCACAGGTTTTGGGATGAACTGGGCGAGCTTGGACCGCAAGCCCACGATGGAGATAAGGAGGAAGATGAGGCCCTCGAGGAAGACCGCTGCGAGCGCCTTGCGGTAGGAGAGCGTGCCGGAGCCGTGGAAGCCGACAACCGTGTAGGCGAAGTAGGCGTTGGTGCCCATCCCTGGTGCGAGCGCGATGGGGAGGTTGGCGAAGGCGCCCATGATGAAGGACCCGATCACGGACGACGCCGCGGTGGCCACGATGAGGTCCCGGCGGGCGCGCGCCACGCAGGCGGCGTACCCGGGGTCCACGGGCGGGAACTTACACCCTGGGGACGGCGCGTCGCAGTCGTCCACGGTGCACGTGGCACCGGAGTCGGAAAGGATGGACGCGTTGACGGCGAGGATGTAGGCCATGGTGAGGAACGTGGCCGTGCCGGCGCGTAGCTCCGTGGTGAACGTGGTCCCGCGCGCAGCGAGGCCGAACCGTCGGCCGACCCATGACCGCTCCACCGCCGCGTTGAGCTGGCCCAGCTTCGTCGTGGCCGATGCCGACGCCGCAGCGTGCTCCCCGCTGCTGCTTGTACTCGGGATGATGGAGTTGGCCATGACGGCGCGTGGGGGCCTGGGGCCTGGGGCCTGGGGTGTGTGTGGCTGTGTGGGAGGCCGTGCGTTTGGGATCCTTTTAACGAGGTGATGGGATGGGGAGTGCGCCGTGGGCGTGGGTAGTCAAAGGCACGAGAGAGAAAAAGATCAACCAATTTAAAAAGTATTATTATTAACTATATATGTATATATCTATAAAATGTTTGGGATCTTCTTATCTGTTTGGTTTTTCTTTTGGGTGTCTGGGGAACCAAAGACCAAGCATCGTGCTAGGTTATCCTTGTTGCTACTATGAATTGGGTGAAAGCTTTTGCGATTAGGACATGAAGGAACTTTTTTTTTGTAGCTTTATTGGTGTTTGTTGGGAGAATTTGGGAGATCTTTTTGGGACTTGGTTGAGGCGATTGATTGCGTGATTTAGACCAACACAAGCTTTTTTTTTATGGACGTTGGCTTCGGCTCAATGATTTCAGTGGAGGTATAATATAGCTTTTTTTTTCGTGAAAAGGGGTTTTAGAATCATGACGACTCCTTTGGATTTAATACCAATTTGAACTTAATATATGGGGCAGTCCAACTATTCCTCGCATGCCATGAATAATTTCTGTTTGTTCCATTCATAATTTGATAGCATGCTCATGCTTTACACATGCGAGCGGCATGAAGCTGGTGCACCCTACATCTCATATTGATTCATTTTGATTTTGTCCGGAATCATATTTAACTGAATTTGACTAAATTGACTAAATCAAAGGACAAGATATATGAATATAATAACAAGTTTGAGTAAATACACTATGAAAACATAGTTTATTGATGTTAGTGTATTTTTTTCCTAATAAAGTTACATTTAAAGTTTAACTTAAAATCAGATTAAAGTAAATAATTTTGTTAGAATGAAGTGAGTAGCTGCGACACCGATGCTTTTGAATCTAGACTAGAAAGCTCGAAATGCTCGGACTGTGGTGTGAACTGTCAAACAAAAATAAGGAACAGTAAAGGGCAAGAAAGCATATGATGTGTTGCGTGCGTCATCCGTGACTTGTGCAGTTTCAATCAATTGATGTGAATAACCAAATTTTCTACACTTCTGAGCTACACATGTTTTTTTGTTTGAACGAACTTTTGTTTGACCAAATGAGTGTCTCATAATTTTTATAAACCGGCAGTCATCACGAGAACAGAGCATGTGCAAAGTGCCTCCCGAGATACTACTAGTCAATAAACAAATCATTTCTTAGAACTAGAAGCATGCATGTTTACACCGGAGAAAACGAAGGTCTCATGTACTGTACTCGATTGGTTTGTATGCAGGGCGCCGATAATACTCGTGAAGTCGACTGGTGACGGCGACGTGTGCAAAGATGCCAGGGAACGGACGAAGCGTGCACGTCTGCCGCATGGTCGATTGTTGACCCTATAGTATTTGGCCGGATGGTATGAATATGATACATGATGCTAGCACTATTTTTTTTGGGTAGAATTTCATGAGAGCATATTGCTGAGTTCGTCAATAATTTTCGCTCCCCTCAACATCTGAGGTTGACATGGGGGGTGTCAGCGGCCTCTCCTTTCACACGAGCAGTATATGCTACTATCACGTCTTTGTTGCGGAATCTAATATTTCTTTTTGCATACCTCATATATACACTCGAATACGGATTTCCCTAGAATATTTGTTAGGGCTTTTTACCTGTGTGCCATTGTAAAAGATCCAAATGATCTACGTATCATTAAAATTTTAAAAAGTTTCTCAGTACCCTTGTCTAAAGTTTCTTTTACCTGTGTACCACTTCCGTCTATTTTGCCTCTAACAGTAGCTAACAGACAGCGGAAAAAGATGCTTTTGCCCTCAGTTATAGAATGCATCAAAATTTTCATTCTTTCCTCATATGCCACTATAACACTTCCTGTGATCCTAAAAACTACGCATTTTTCTCTATACCATTATGAAAAATTCATGGTAACAGCTTGTGTGTGCACGTGGTAAACTTTAATAATTATAATAAATTTGAAATGCATCCAAAATACTTGATAATTGCGACAACCACAACAAACATTTAAACTAAGTACATTTAGGCATAATAGAGGTCCAAATTTATCATGACGTGCATAGTCAGCTTGATTACTGAATCAAGTTTGCACACAAAATATGGTTACATTGACCTCATTGCTAGTTTAAATATTATCTGGTCACTACAAAAGCATGCCACAGAGATGCAAACTCATTACAGATCAAGTTTTTTCTTGCTTCTAGTTCCCATGGCCGGACTAGAAGGGGAACTAGGGGCCTTGCTGCGGGTTGACATGGCTGGACTACCCTTGTTTGGAGTCAATTTTTTTTTGAAATGGCCCTCTTCTTCTTGTGCTGGTGCTGACTTGCACTCTTGTCAGCTGTGTGCTGCTCACTTGATCCTGAAGGGTCTAGCTGATTTGATCATGTTCTAGATCTTCTGAAAAAAGAGACATGAGTACAAAACAGTTGGCTTATCAATTAAAGTGGTAAAAAGACAATTATAGAAAATTAGCTTACCTCACGGAGGGGTCACTAGCCTCAGTAGTTGAAGTATTGGAAGTACTCTTTTGTTTCTTCACACGAGTTGATGAGGATGATTTGTTCTTCCTTTTCTTTGATAGATCCACAATAGTAGGTAGAACTGGAAAGGCCACAACAGTAGGTGGAAAGGCCATCCTTTGTGGTGCTGCAGGCACAATGCTAGTCTCAGTAGTAGCTTGTTCTATCTTCTTTTTCTTCTTTTTAGGTGGACCTCTGTATGGACAGATAGGTTAGCAACAATGTAAACATCCAGTAATTATAGTCTCAAATACATAAATGATAACAGACAATGGATATAGCCTCAGAGTATACTGGGCAAGCAAACAGTCAAAATAACAACAAAGTCTCACTATGAAATAACAGACTATGAATTGGGGCCGTGTAGATTAGTAAGGGCAGAAGCAGAGTTGGGATGATCAAGCCCACAGCATAATCTGATCAAGTTCCATGGTTCTATGCCCCATATGTCAGGTTAGGTACAAAGGTTACTGACACTATCATTATGTTCCTCAAGTTATGCAAGTTTGTGTCTAGAATGTACTTGAACTGCAACTTAGAAGACAAAGGCATTGCCATTTGCACGAGCACAAGTAGAAGCAAGACTTGCTGCGAACAGAAATGGAACAGGAACATGGTCTTCTACCACTAAAGGAAATAATTGCAGAATAAATTGGCACTATAAAAGAAAATAATTGCAGAATAAATTGGCACTTCTATGTTACCTTTCAGCAAGCATTGCTGCTATGTCTGCTGGGTCACCATCCTTACAAGTGTACCAATGATGTCCATATTGCTGACAGATCGGACACTGATGCCTACCCTTGCCTCCTTTGCTGCCACCCTCTGCTACGCCCTTGTATCTATTTTGCCTTCTCCTACCAGCCGTTGACTTCAACAATGGACGATGCAGGAAGAAACCAAGTTCTTTTTTGGGCCACATGGATTTGTCTAGTATAGAAGGGATTGTACCATCATATGTAGCCCTGAAGCTCTGTACAGAGTAGTAGTTGTCCACATGATCTTCTATCTTCTCTCCAGGTATAGAGGTGATGTAGGCAATTGCATGCTTACATGGTAATCTAGAAACGTCCCATGCTCTACAAGAGCATGTTCTTTCCTTTAGGTTCACAACAAACCTATAAGTAGAAGCTCCCCTTGCCATAACCTCTATAATGCCATCAAGTGAGCTAGTCACAACATCAATGTCAAGGTTCCTACTTTGCTCCTTTAGCTGACTTATGATGTGTGGCAAAATTTTTCCTTCCATTCTATGTGTAATTTTTTCCTCTGGTTCCACTTGATTAGAAGCTTCTGTCTTATAGTATCCATCAAGTCATCTAGATGCAGCCCCTTATCAGCTTTTATCCAATTGTTGAAGGTTTCTACTAAATTATTGGTGACATAGTCAACTTTTGACAATGTAGAGTACTGACTTCTTGTCCACAGTTTTGTATGAGTTTGCTGCAAGTATGTCATTGCTGCTGGATTTGTTTCAGCCATGGCCTTGATATGCTTTTCAAACATATATGAATTCCAAGAATAAGCAGCAGCCCACAAATGTTCATCAAAAACTTTTCCACTGAACCTTTTCTTAAAATTCTACACCAAGTGCCACATGCACTCTCTGTGCTCTACATTTGGGAATACCTCACTAACTCCTGTCATGACTGCCTGACCACAATCTGTGCAAAAGGTCAGACCAGGTGGGGTACCTATAGCTTCCTTAAGCCTTTCCATGAACCAAATCCAGTTTTCATTGGTTTCAGAATCAATGACTCCTATAGCAACTGGGTACATCCATTTGTGCCCATCAACTGCACAAGCAATGCATAATTGACCTCTAAATTTTCCAGTTAAGAATGTACTATCAACAACCAGATAAGGCCTGCAACCTCTAAGGAAACCTTCAACACAAGGTTTTATTGCAAAAAAAGCCTATTGAATCTAATCTTATCCTCTATTGTATGATGATCAATGACAACAAAGCTGCCAGGACAAGATTGTTCTATCTGTGCCTTAAACTTGTACAAGTTGTCAAAACTTTCATTCCAGTTACCATACAACTCGTCCATAGCAAGTGCCTTTCCATCATACACTTTCTTGTAGCTGATATTGATCTTCCAATCATCCTTCAATCTTCTCCTAAGTTCTTTGGGCCGAACAGTGGGTCCTCAGCTAACCAATCCTTTATCTTCTCACGAATCCAAAACTTGGTAGCATTTTGACTTTCCCAATCCTCCTACTACTTTGACATTTATGATCACAAGGGTTCACCTTGACCTACAAAGTTTAGTTTCAATTAGACTAGAATAATTTTAGAAGTGTGAACACAGTACTGAAATAAATTCAGAAATATGAACAAACTACTAAAATAAATAAAAGAGAAATTACCTGTACAGTAACTTTATCACTCATTGTCGATGCATGAAGCCTCCAGTTACAACCA